ATTTGTTATTGGTGTAGTCGGCTTTGTGTTTTGTTGCTGTTTTCATTGCTTTGTATTGAAGTTTGTGTTGGCTTGCTAACTTTTGGTTTTGGTTGAATTTTTATTTGGATGGCATGTTTAGCTTTTTTGCTTTGTTTATATAATAATATTGGCTCTGTTTGGTTGAGCTTCCTGAGGGTTTCAAGTGGGCTTCTAAGTCCAAAAAGGCATTCTTAAAAAAAAATGGGTGTTTGGTGGCATTAATAAAATGGGCTTTTAACAAAAGTAGAAGCCACTAAAAGCCCGTTAAGCAAAGTTACAAATACCCGTTTCCAATATAGGTTTCTCAAAACATGCGAAACATGGGTTGTTGGAATATATTGGAATATTATAAGATTACTATTTTATCCTTAAATATTGATTACATTGCCTATATTAACCTTTATTATTTATTAAATTACAAACAACACCCTATTTCAGGAGTCCCTCATCTTCTTTCCTCTCTCTTATATCCCAGTTTCTTTGCCGGCATCGTTAAAATTGATGGTGACTGCTATGGCGCTACCACCCCCAGCCGATTGGTGGAGGTTCTAAAAAATTAATACAATGCAACCTTATTCGGATTTAGGCGTTAAGTTTTCTTTATTGGCACCACCAGCCGATTGGTGACACACCACCTCTGTGCGTCGCCATGGATTCCGTTGACCAGAAAATAAAGAATCATATTTAGATTTATTTATTTATTTATTATTATTTCTTTTTTGTTGGGTGTGAACGTGTGCTTTGCTTGATTTTCCCTTTTTTAGCCTCTTTGATGAAAAAAAAAAAAAAAACTTAGAAATGTAGGAGTCAATATATATATATATATGGGTTTGAACTAACACAAGTGTGTTTTATGGTAATGGTGCATTTATATGACTATGGTGTAAGCTGTGACCCGAAAGAGATAGTTTTGAAGTCATTTTTTCTTTTGAGATAGACTTGCACCAAATTAAGATTAACATGGAGATGAATAATCATGGAGTTGTCCAAATCTAGTGGATAATGATTAATTGTGTATTTTTATATGTATATACTTGTATCTTATAATTGGTAATATTGTATATACTTTCTCTCATAATTGGTTCTCTAATGCATGGTGTTCTTCAGGAAATGTGAGGATAACTTTGTCACTTTAAAAATATTAAATTATGTGATTGAAATTATTTCTTAATTCAAAAGGACTTTAAAAATTAAATATACCAAACATATTTTTTGATTTAAATTCCTTTTATCGAAAGTTCTTCTTCAAGGACTGTCTTCCCCAAACAGGGCCATTATCTTCTTAATAAAGCTTGTTTACCAAAAAAAAAAAAAAAAAAAAAAAAAAACCCTTCCAAGCGACCAAAACAAACGATTAACTTAAGGAGGATGGGCCCCACGTGAGATATAAATTGGGGGAGGATTTTTTTTAGCAGCAAGGCAAGAAGGTAGAGTCAAATAGGAATGGTAAAATCTCTGCATGTCAAGACAATACAACGACCTCAGCAGCAGTAGAAATAGTCTCACTTTTCTATGGGGCAAGTTTTGTTTGAAGAGAAATGAGAAATGAAATAAACTATTAAAATTCTTTTGTTTAATAGTTTTAAAATTAAGTTAAAAAAGATGTATTTTAAGAGAACGTTGTTTCTACAATTATGTAAAAAATGTAGCTTCTTACAAACTATTTTTTGTAAAATTGAATCAAACATGCTATTTCTTTTTGCAAATTTTTTGGGTTGGCTAGGGGTGGGACTAATTCTGTAATGCATACACTAAATATTCATGCATGAAAAAATTTATTTTAGCCAACATTTTTTAAGAGTTATTAAAAGCCTTGATTTTATATAATAGTTTTTTGTAATTTATTAATACTATTTTATATGTTCAGTGTTATTATAAATTATTTTCCGAAATTTGAATTAAACGCATACATAGTTGCTTTTAAATTGTTAACAAATATATCCTTTCAATAACTTGAACCTCGTGACCTTACTATTCATGACAGACACAATCAAAGAAAGTATTTCAAGATATTGTTATTTTTAGATTTATAGACTACAAGTTATATTTATTTGGGCAAATTGCAAAAAAACCTCATCAACTATCACTCACTTACAAAAAAACCCTTTAAGAATATTTTTAGCAAGAAACCCCCCAACTATAGGGGGGTATTTTAACTTAAAACCGTTTAATGATTTTTTGAAGTAATTTTTTAGATATTGTGAATTAGGTCATTGTTCAGTCCTCTATTAAATTCGGTGAACACCAAATTTAGTCCAATCTAAATTTTCTAACGATTTTCATCTACCTAAACAATACTAAAATTTTGGGCTTCTTGATTTCTAAATTATGTATTGTAACAATACAAATGAAAAATAACTTCGTACAAGTTTTTCCAAAAATGGTTGTCAATGCATTTTTTTCCCCCCGAAAACAGAATTGGACGAAGTTGGGTCCAAATTTGTCAACTGCGAAGTCAACTGCACAGCGGATGTCGTCCTCTATGGTGATATCACAGTGGAAAAAACATGTATTCAGGTTGCCATCAAGGGCTTCGCATAGATGCTGACCGAGTTCGTCTTTAATGTCAACACACAAATGCACATTGTTCAGTCCTCTAAACCCGGTCTCGTCGGCATGGCACCTCGCGGCTCCAGTCCAGTTAGCAAACATTTAGAGAAAGTGAATCAGTGTTTTGCAGAAAAGACTAAAAGGTATTTAATTTTCACAACCTCCGAGCTGACTGACCACCACCCATCTCACTTCACTGGTAGTGTTCTCAAACCCTAGAAATATAAAACACAAATATACAAGTGGAGTAATTGGGTTCATCTAACAAACCCTAGAGAGAGAAAGTTAGCAATACACAAGGCATAGTCCCAGAATCTCAGCTCAAACCCAAATCGACTATGGTGCCTTTTTCCCCTTCCAGGTATTTCACAGCCCTTTCTTTACTCATTCTCTACTTCAAAACCCTATCTGCATACCCAAATTCGTCCTTTTCTTTCAAGAATTTCAATAAAGATTCGAACTTTAAGTCCTAACTCGCTCTATATGGTGATGCCAAGATCGATAATGGTGGTTCGTCCGTATCACTGGGTCGTTGAGTTCAAGCGTTGGGCGACTCATTTACAAGAAACCCATCAAGCTGGGGGAAGGAAACCCAAAGGGAATGGTGTCTTTTTCGAGTTATTTCTCGTTTTCGATTTTGCCGAAAAATGGTAATGGTTTAGCTTTTGTTATGTTTCCAATTGGTTTCCTTTGAATGTATTTGATGGTAGCTCATTTGGGCTGTTGGTTGAGAGGAATTTTAGTGTTGTTTGGGAAGATAAAAATCGTCAGAAAATTTGGGTTTGACTAAATTTGGTGCTCACATAATTTAATGGATAACTTAATAATGACCCAATTCATAATGTTGAGTGGTAATTTGGTCCAAAAAATTACCTCAAAAAATCATTATATAGTGTTTAGTTAAAATACCTCCTCAGTATAGTTGATGGGAGGTTTTTTTGCTAAAAATATTCATTAGGGGTGTTTTTTGCAAGTGAGTAATAGTCATGGGAGGTTTTTTGCAATTCACCCTATTTATTTTTGTATGCTTTTGTGTATTTATACTTTATTTTTTCACACTTAACTTGATTCTTCAATTTAAAAAAAAAAATATTCACCCAAAATAAGTATTTATTTTTGAAAAGTACAAGTTTTTAAGAGAATATGAAATTAATACATAAATATATATATATATATATATATATATATATATAATCAAGTTTAATTTTTTTTTTAGAACTTCAAAAATATTTATGGGAAGATGTAAAATACCTTGTATAACCTACAATATTTTGAGACATTAAAAATAAAAGATGTACATTTATTTTGGAAGGAGGGAGTAGCATAATTTCCTCTTAAAGTGTTACATCTTTCAATACTTGCTATACAATTATTACCAGGTTTGCTGTACAATTATATCTTCTTACTTTAAAAAATGGAAGGTTAAGTGTTTTAAGTATTGGTGGGAAATAAAAAATGGGTGAGTGAAATTTTCTTTTTATATACTCCCTCCATAAATAAATAAAAAATAAAAAATAAAACCTTTTCATTTTTGGCCGTTTCTCTCAATTCAAAATTTATTGTACTATTTTTAATATTCATAATTTACCCTTCTTGTCTTTAAGTTATAAAAACATATTATCTCACAATAAAAGGGTATGTTTGAAAATTCATTCTCTATCACTGTAATAATAATAAATAAATAAAACATTAAAAATTGCACTCAATTTCTAAAAATGACACTTTTCATGGGACGGAAGTGTTTCATGTTGTTTTAGAACCAAAGCTCTCATGGGAAGTAGTATTATTGTAAGTGTGAATGACAATATATAAAATAAAAAAAAAATTTATTTTATTTTAATAATTACCTTTTATTGTTAAAATATCTGGTAATGATAAAATTAAATATGAAAACTAAAAATAGAGTGGGGTGATTTTATATTTTAAAAAAATGATATAGGTAAGTTTAAAAACTGACCGTTAAATCTGACGGGCTTGATTTTCTTTTCTATGATAAATAAGAGAGCAGGACTATATATATATTTTAAAGTAAAGCAATAAAGACACCACCACAATTATATATATTTTAAAGTAAAACAATAAAGACACCACCACAGCTATTGAGAGAGTACTGAGCAGTGTGTGGACCATTGTGGTGAGACCTACACTCTTGTCTCATGCGGAGTCATGGCCGGTTGGGCAAGTGTAGAGTGATTCATAATTCAATGATCTCTCCCCCAAAAAATATTTATTAGCTAATGATACCTCCTTTGTGGAAAAAAAAAAAATATATATATATATATATATACACTAAGGACAATTTTGCAGTTTCCTCCAAAAGTAATGGTGGGATTCGGTAATATATAGAAAAATTGAGGGCATTTAGTCACACGATAATCAACATGTGAAGAATCCATCCTATCGAGCGGCTTTTTGAATTTCAAATGACCAAACGGCTCATTCCAGATTAGACAACGCAGCACCACCAAAAGGTCCAAAACCAACACCCTCTCTCTATCCCTGAAGCTCTAGCAGCTGAAGAATCTCTCCCTCTCTCTTTCTCTCTCTGTTTTTTTAGTTCTACAGGCTTCCCCTAACTAAGTTTTGTTTCTGAATATTTGGATCTGTATTTGCTGAAGAATCACACCTCTTTTTCTCTCTGTATCATTCTATCTTTAAAAAAGCTATTTGTTTTTCAGTTCTTCAGAGCCTCTAATCCTTGAGAAATCAAAGTTTTTGTTGAGAATCTAGAGCTCTGATCTGATCAATCAAAGCTTATCTCAAATGGGTGCTTCTGGGAAATGGATAAAAACATTGATAGGTCTCAAAAAGCCAGAAAAGGACAACCATGTAAGCTTAGATTTTTCCACGATGAATATATATACACACATATATCTTTTCTCTTTCTTCATTGTAACTGTTATAGTTTCTCTTTCTCTAGGAAAAAGTTGGAAAGAGCAAGAAATGGAAGCTGTGGAGGAGTTCTTCAGGGGATTTGGGATCCTCTTGGAAGGGTTTCAAAGGGAATCATAGAGCTGTTGTTGCATCGGACGGCTCTGATTCTTCTTCAGTGAGTCATGATGCTTTTACAGCTGCTGTGGCTACTGTTGTTCGAGCTCCTCCTAAAGATTTCAGGGTTGTGAGGCAAGAATGGGCCTCAATCCGGATTCAAACTGCGTTTCGGGGCTTCTTGGTAAATGGGTTCACCTGTTTTTTTCCCACATTCGTATCTGTTTGGTTGATAAGAAAATTTAGACAAGAAAATAAAAAAAAAAAAATTCTTTTCTTTTCTTTGAATCTTTAGATTTGTTTTCTAATAATGGGCTTCTGGAAAGTAAATGTTCCACTCATTTAAATTTTTTAACCGCCTTTGGTTGCTGAGAAAATTTAGGAAAAAAAAACATTTTTTTTTTTTTTAATTTTTTATTTGGGATCTTTAGATTTGTTTTCTAATTGGCTTCTGGAAATTAATTGTTCCACTCATCTAAACTTCATTAAAAACAAATCTTGGGTTTGCATATAGATATTCTATTTTGACATTTAACTCTATCTAGCCTCATTAAAAGCAACTATTTTACCATGCGATTTATTTTTCACTTTTTCCATGCCTTGGTTTATCACTTAATTCATTTATCACTTCTTATTTTCCTCTTCTCATACATTTTCTCATCAAACAAACTGAGCCCTTTTCTATTTTCAAGAGTGAATGGATATATCAACAGCACTACAATGATTGGATAATAAAAGACCACTTGAACTGCTACAATACCATGGGAGAGACTAAGCTAATTAACTCAGATTTAAATTTTTCAGCAGATGTGGATGGCTAATTCAAAACTAAAAAACAACAGATCTTGTTCTTAGTTTATTTTATGCAATATGCAGTAATGAGAAATTAATCTTATCAAATCTGGTGTCAAATTAACATTTCCAATTCAGAAAACTCTAGATCTGAGTGCCTATGATTTTCAACCCTTCATTGCAAAATTATAGTTTCATTCAATATACTTTTTTAGCTTCTAAGCATGCATTTAATATATCTTCTTCTGTTCACCCATGTTGTATGTATTGATTTCTCTCACTCATTTGATATCTACCAACTTTTGGATTCAACCTTATAGTTCAGAATGTAGATTGCTGTTTGCAAATTTGATTTTGTTTTGAGAATGTTGTAATCATTTAGTGGGTGTTGTGTGATGATTGTAGGCAAGAAGGGCTTTGAGGGCCTTGAAAGGAGTGGTAAGGCTTCAAGCTTTAGTTCGCGGGCGGCAAGTGAGGAAGCAGGCTGCTGTGACCCTGAGGTGCATGCAGGCCCTTGTTCGAGTTCAAGCGCGAGTCAGGGCTCGTCGTGTGCGTATGTCCGAAGAGGGGCAGGCCGTGCAGAAGATACTGGACGAGCACCGCACCCAGGCTGATCTCTTAAGACAAGCTGAGGTATTTGTTTTGCTTGTTGGCACATTGATACATTTCTTTTGTTTTCAATAAATTGGCTACAAACCAATTCAACCAACCCTTAGTTCTCTTTTTGTACACTAGATATTGGCACTATGAGCATTGTCCTTTCTCCTTGAAACTAACAGAAATTTCCAATGTCCTGTCATTAAAAATTCTCAGGAAGGATGGTGTGATAGTATAGGGACATTGGAAGAGGTTAAAGCAAAACTACAAATGAGGCAAGAGGGAGCCTTCAAGAGAGAAAGAGCACTTGCATATTCTCTTGCTCAAAAGGTATTGTGTTTATGAAGTTGAAAACTTTTTGTAACTTTTTGTGTCTCTGTCAATTGAACAACATGATTAAATTGTTCATATTTCTAGCAATGGAAATCAACCCACAATTCAGATTACAGAACAAATGTCTCCTTTTCATCTCTCAAAAATCAAGAGCTCGACAAGAACAGCTGGGGGTGGAGTTGGTTAGAACGTTGGATGGCAGCGAAGCCATGGGAGAACAGATTGATGGAACAATCGCATAACGAATCATTGGAGCTTACTCCGCCTTCTAAAACCTGTGTAGATTCCCTCAAGGGCATCCGGTCCAAATCTTCTGAACTGGGCTCAGTGAAGATCAGGAGAAACAATGTTAGCACCAGGATTTCTGCGAAACCCCCCCTGATTGGACAAGTTACTCGATCATCTTCAAGTCCAAGTTCTGAATTTCGATTTGATGAGAGCTCAGGTTCATCTTCAATATGCACATCTGCAACTCCTATTTCTGGAAATACTGTCTTGGCTTCAGATAGAACAGATGAGAGGAACAACACTAGGCCAAGTTATATGAACTTGACCGAATCAACCAAGGCTAAGCAGAGAAATTTATCTTCCAGAATTCTAAGGCAGTCCATGGATGAGTTTCAGTTTGTTAAGAAGTCAGTGGCATTTGCCAATGGGGATTCTAAAAGCAGTGCTGGTTCTGATCCTTCTTCAGTTAACATGTCTAAGCCAATTTGGCCATCTACCCGGATGGACAAAAATGCCATGAAATTGATGGGGAGAGAAAATTGTCTTGATGAATAGAAGATGAGTTCATGTTTGCTGCAAAGGTCAACAGCTTGTTGTTCTGTATGATTGAGAAATTGTATCAAGTTTAAAAGGATTTGTGCTATGAACTGATTGGTGCTTGAGTTGTGGTTAAAGGGTTCCCCATTTTCTAAAATTGTATTAAGTTAGTGTTTTGGAATTAAACATTGCATTTTCTCTTCCATCTGAAAAATGTACAACTAGGGTAGCAATTCTTGATCAACATTACATTTTCAAAGTCATGGGTACCCTGAAATGCTGCTATCAATATGACAAATTTAAACTACATTATATCATTTAGTATATAAAAAGGATACATGATTTAGAAGATGGCTCAGCCATGTTTAACAAATTTCATGCTCGTTTGATGGCTCTAACCTTGACACCATGTTTGAAATTAAGAACGACGCCATACTCAAGTGCCAAAGGTTCTTCCATGTTGGGGGAATGTCGAAATACATACTTCCGGTACAGATGAATCAACGAGAGTTTAATTTCTTGCAAGGAGAATTTTTGCCCAATGCATGCTCGAGGACCAATACCGAAGGGGATGTGTGCATAAGGATGCCTTTGCTTTTCTTCTTCACAATTTGGGTCGAACCTCTCTGGCTTAAACTTGTCTGGTTCAGGAAAATTCTTCGGGTCTTTCGCTAGCACTCCAAGAGCTAACCACACCCATGTTCCCTGCATAGTCATAAAAAGATCAAGTAGAATATATAAACTGTTTCATTGAATATACTAATCCACACATAAATGTGACATATATGTAACTGCTTTCAAATATAAAACATATATATACCTTTGGGAGAATGTAACCTCCAATCTCCACTTGTTCTGATGTTTCTCTTGCAACTAATGGGGAAACAGTATAGAACCTCATTGACTCTTTAATCACCTGCATCAAACAACCAAGAAATGAATGGAATCCATTGCTACGTCATGGATATCTTCGGGATCAAAAGCAAATCTGATACAGCAATGTAGTAGTTAAGATGATTTAGAAAACATTGAATCAAACAAACTTAGTGGGTTTTGTATGGTTATTTGTAAATCTTTCGAGTTTAAGGAGACTTGCCTGATCAAGATAGGGAAAATTGTGTTGAAGATCATGGGCCGTTGGCATCTGATCATGTGGACCAAACCCATCAATCTCTTCGAGCAACTTACTCTCAACTGCTGGATGCCCAGCAACCAGATAGACAATTGAAGACAATGTAAAAGCTGTGGTTGCTGATCCAGCAAGTAGGTGCTCATAAGTTACTGCACTAATGTAGTCCATGGTGAAAATGTTCCTTGACACCGTCTCTGACTCTCTTGCACTCAGTATCAGAGACAAGAAGTCCTTTGAACCTCGGTCCTTCTCTTTCATTCTCTTTGCAACGATGTCATCAAGCTGGCTACTCAAATTATCGTTTGTTCGTTCTGCTTTCCAGTCCATAGTGCCCGGTATTCTTTTGAGAATCTGGCGAAATGGCTCCTGGAGTATGGGGACAAGTAGGCCTAATATGATTGAAAAGGAACCTGATAAGTCCATCTTAAGCATTGTTGTGGAGTAGATGTGTTGCTTGATGAAGTCTTGGACTTCACCACCATTATGTTTTGGATTGTTTACTGTGTCATCGCCTGATTGTGGCTTAGAGAGCCCAAAGTCGACACCAAATGCAGCCTGTCCAATCACATCTGTGGCCAATTTGATGGACAGGTCGGAGAAAGTGAGGTCCTCTTCTTTGTTGGAGTGGAGATTTTCGCTTGCAGACTCGATGAATGTTTGCATTGTTGGCACCAACTTGGCTAGGTGAGATGGTTGGTAGACTGATATTATTGTGTTTCGCATGGTAGACCATCTTGAATCCCTGCAAGCCAGTTGGATTACACAACTTTGTTGTCATGACATGTATAATATTTGCCCTACTTACCCGAGGTTCCTAATGGGTTGAAGGACAGGTCTTCTGATTAGAGGGATCTTGTCCCACATTAGATCCAGATGGAGAAAAGATTGGGCATATGTGGATAGATATGCAATATTACTAAATAACTTGAGTTTTTGGGTTAGAAGACAAGTGGTGCGAATTTCAAAGACAAAAAATAATTAAAAACATTGGGTCCAAGTCGTCTGAACCAAATGATCAAAGGAAAGCAAAAGTCTGGCTGGTTGAGAGTGCTTGTTTTTGTTGGTTCAAGACATCATGTATTACTATGGAATATACATGATTTTAAAGTAAAATAAGCACATAAATCAATTATATTTCTACCATGGTAATACCTGGAGAAAAAGAGACCTTTTTGATGAAGTGGGGTACTTAAGATTGGAGAGGGAATGCTTCTGTTTGGAATGTATTTGAATTTCTTAATTCCAACTTCTCTACAAAGCTCTGCATCTGCTATAATCACCAATGGTTGTCTACCCATATGAAACCTGCTCCACAAAACAATATAACTATGTGGACCTTGAGAGAGAAAAATAGGAGAAATTGATACAATCCATGCTTCCTTTTCTTTTACTGCATTAGCAATTTAGGAGATAGATATTGAATCGTCTACGATGAACGTCACCATGTTGTAGATGTGTTCAACACAATTAAATTTAGTTTCAATACATTATTTCATGTTTTAAAAATAATGTGTTGAAATACAATTTAGTTGCGTTGAGTACATACAACAGATGACAACAGAATAAATGGTTAAGGTTATATGACTAACATCATGATGTCAAATCATGTCTAACATCACCATGTAGGTGCGTTCAACACAATTAAATTTAGTTTCAATATATTACTTCATATTTAAAAAATAATGTGTTAAAATACGATTTAATTGCGTTGAAATACGATTTAGTTGCATTGAATACATACAATAAATGACATCAGAATACATGGTTAAGGTTAAACGACTAACATCGTGATGTCAAATCATGTCAGTTGCACAGTATATTTTGGGAGGGGCCTGTCCATGATCATAAATATCTCAGCTGTTATAAATGGTAGTTGTTCTTCCTCATGATCAAGATTGTATCAGACATGACTATTGGATAAGCTTTTAATCGCATTTGGATAAGTGGGAGAAAAAGCAAATGAAATGAGAGGGGGTCATACTAGTAGGAGGAAGAAAGAAAAAGGAAATGGAATAATAGTTTTAATATGCGCTCCTGTTTGGATCCAACAAAATAAATCCAAGGAATGATAGTGAGAGCCATTAATCTTATTTAATAAACGAGAGAAAAAAAAGGGGATGGATCAAGAGGTATAAAATAGTGAGATGTCTCATAAGGTCAGTACTTTATACAATAATGATTAATAAAGTCAAATGAAAGAAGCAAAATTAAATTATAAAATATCAAATTTGTCATATATTTTCCCTTTAATTCCACTTTTTTACTAAAATAGTACTATTATTGTTAAGGGCAAAAATGTAAAATCAGGCTCTGAGTACTGTTCATTTGAAATGTCTGACATGAGAGGTTTGTGTCATTTTTGAAGCAACAAAGGAAGCTTGAATAAATTAACCGTTCCCAAAAAAATAAATAAATTATGCTATGTCTTAGAGAAGGTGATTGAAACTTACCCAAGAAAAAAATATTTTATTTTGGGGAAAATAGGTAATCTTATTCGTGGATCTAGGGTGGGCTTGGGTATAAAATATAAAATAGAATAAAATAAAATTTATTCTATCTAATTTTAGTCCAGCCAAAGAAAGAAAAAAATATTACTATTATTAGTACACTAAATATTAGTCCACCCCATTAATAATTTCTCCATTCGCAATAAATTCTTGAACTCCTTCATAATTTTCTTTGGATTCTCTACAAAACTTATTTTATATATATATATATATATATATATATATATATATATTTCTCACACCCTCTTTAAAATTGATAATACTAAGTGCGTTGTTAGATAGACTGAAGGTACTAGGGATTTGAAATTTCTCTTTTATACATATTGGGTAACAAAAAAGAACTTTTTGGTTGTTGAGATTTTGTCTAAGCGGAGCTTTTAGCCAAAGCTAAAAATTGTACCTTTTGGCAAGTATAGTTAATAAATAAATAATGTCTATTATGAAAACAAATATTTATAAAAAGTGTCTCACATATATATACTTACATCACCAAACACTATTTGGACCCTTTTTTTTTTCATTGTTTATTACATCAAGACAAACTGACCCTGGGTCTTTCATCACACACACACATATATATATTACCAAATTCGCACTTGTTACGCACGCTTTACAGTCTACACAGATCCTTATATTATTTTTTGTTTTTATTTCTAGATAAGTATAACAATTATTAAAAGAACAATATATTTAGAATCGTGTTACACTTGCCATCACACGACAACTCGTTATGAGATATTGGTGTGGACTCCACCAGAGAGCAGTCCACGCCCATTCCTCACGGAATCTGTTGTTTTATGTCAGCAAGTCGAGAGTTTTCCAAACTTGCAATGCCCAAATGGAGAATATGTGAGATTCCAAAGGATCAACAAATCATCGTTACGTTTATATAATGGGAAAAACTTCAAACTCATGTACTCAGCTATATAATATTTTGTATATTTCAATTATTAGACCACACTTTTGTTGTTGCTTAATTGTGTGATTATAGAGAAAATCCAGGAAGTGAAAGGAAAGAGAGAGAAAGGTTAGAAATGTAACCTGAAAATAGGTCCATAGCGTTTGGCAAGGACAGAGAAGACGTCAGTGCTATACTTAGCAAGCAAGGGCAGGTGTCCCACGAAGGGCATGGCGGGAGGACCAGGTACCTTTCTCACACCCCAATAGGGTCCATAGAAGTACCCCAAAACTCCGGCTACTATGGCCAATATGGTGCACAGACCTGATACCGCGGGTGTCCGTATTAAGGGCAGTCCTAACTCCGTCAATTGCTGCAGAGTTTCACCCACTAAATCCATCTTAGAGAGAGAGAGAGAGACAGATGGACAGACAGAATCGTTGGAGGGGGTTCGCAATAGGAGTTTGTTTCAATTTCTTATGGAATGGTGGGAATATATAGAAGGGGCAGTAAGTGCCGGATCACTAAAGCATCTTCACCATTGAGCATCTTGCTCGGGTGTTTTTGTCTGTATTCAATGCTTTTTCTTTGGAAAGTCTGTCGTTTCGAATGATGATATTCTGATAATGGTGGGTCCCATTTTTATTATATTGTTTTTGGGTGGTGATTTTTTTTTTTTTTTTTTAACAAAATTTGCTTTTCTATATATATATATATATATATTGGTCTTCTTTTTATACCATTTCCCTGCCAAGTACTAGCATAGCATGTTATTGTGAGATAACACTATAGTCTTCAGATTCTCCACGTCTAAAAAAAACTTTTTAAGGGGCAAATAATTAATACATTGTCTCTTAAAATTATCATATTAAGTTGATTTTTTATTTTATTTTTTAAGTTAAAAGGTAAGGATGGTAAGATTTAATGTATTTTTGTTTTTACGTTTTAAAAGAGAGAAATATTTTGAGACAATCTAAAAGAGGAAGATAAATTTATTCATATGAGAAGAGGATTTAATAATAAGTGTCCTATGCTTCTTTAATGTATCATAATTTTACATGTATAAATTGGTCATATATTTGATAATAAACACCCCATCTAACAAATTTTAAATTCTAAAATACTCCATCTTCTATGTTGGTGGTATATCTTTTTATTTAGAGATATCTAAATTAGTTGTCACATTTGAAAAGTGAAAGCATAAAAATGTCATCTTTTTATAATTACCCTTTAATTTTTTTAAAATTTCTCAATTCGATAACATACATATATTTAGGGTCACGTGCAAAAAAACACCCATATAATATGATTATAGTGCATATCACACCCCTCAGGTGCAAAAAACACCCATATAGTTTTTAATTTGTGCAAATAAATCCATCTTGACATATTTAAATTATACTTGACTAAATTGCCCTCACTGAGTAATTTTATAAAATATACTTCCTCCGTCCCATAATAGTTGTCCATCTTTCCTTTTTGGATTGTCCCAAAATACTTGTCCACCTACCAAATTTAAACAATATATTTCACATCTTTCCATAAAATACCCTTAAAATTTTAAAAAATTTCAAACTTGATTATATATATATTTTAACTTGAAATGGTAACTTTGTAATTTTTAAAGGGGACAATGCAATAATTACATGTCCCCTTAAAAAGTTTTACTCCCCATAAAGAATATCTATTATGAGACGGAGGGAGTATAAAAATATTTTACTTTGTGAAATGATCGAATAGGATAAAAATATCAACCTTTGTTTTCAAGACCCAAGTAACCCAAACCCTAACCCGTGGAATCAACAACTCAAGGTTTCCATAATTATTCTTCTTCTTCTTCATCATCATCATCGTCCTCTGTCTCCAAAGGAACGCTCTCCTCCTTCTCCCTCTACTGCCTCTTTAGCCGCAGACAGCGTTGTCAGACAATCGCCACCAAAACAGTAATCAGAATATCGAGTCAGATCGGCCTCTTCCTCTTCTACAACATCTGCGAAGACAACGACCCACCGTCAAACCCTAGTGAGTCCACTGGGGTAGTAGTGGATTCTGCAGTCAGAGCCTCAGTTGCGGCGGTGACAATGACGAGAAAGGTGATTGAGAGATGACCCTTGCCTCCGCCGATGTTTTCTTAGGTTTGGTCCTCTTCGACTCTGGCGACGTGTTAGCGATCTAGGTTTTCGATTTTGGGGATCAAAACCGTAATTGTGATTATGGGAAGAATAATTACTGATCTGCACCATGAATTATTTCATGGATTTTGGCTCAATTTACAAATTGTTAAAGACATTATATTAATTAATTACAGTAGTTCTTCCAATGACGACTGTTGGGGGAGAAATCCACGCAGTCCGATACGACACCGTTTTCCTGCAAAGAAGAGAGTAGAAGATCGATGAATCTTGACGGCACCGGTGTGGTGCCTGCCAAGAGCTCTCCGACGATCAAGTCAGTCACCGGAGGTCTAAAAGAAAGGTAGGGATTTAATAATCATTTTTTGTCGTACCTTTATTGACTGGTAGGATCTCCTTCTTATAGTTGTTCTCCCTCAGTTCATTTGCGGGATCAGAGGAGGTACGCTTGTGCAAGATCAGAAGAGATCCGTTTGTTCCAGATTTGTCGGGGATATAATTTACCCCTTTGACTTTCTCAAATTGTGCCAAGGTTATCCTTACCCTGTTGAACCATGTCATATTTCATTATCCTTGATAATAAAATATTATCATTCTTATCCAATGGAAATATCATCATTCGAAAGTCGAATAGGTCTGGCGACTGGTCAACACTTAGTTGCCTCTGTCGTTAAGTCAAGGTAGGTCAGGTTTATTTTTTCCTATTAGTTGCCCCCCATTCCTAAGCTTGCTCGTCTAGCTTTGGGAATGTGATTTTTTTTTTTTTTTGCCCTGGGCACTGTTCCATCAGGAATAGTGCCCGCGGGTACTGTTCACTTGAACAGTAATTTTTATAATAATTTTTTTTTTTTTTTTTTTTTGCCCAGGGCACTGTTCCTGATGGAACAGTGCCCAGGGCAAAAAAAAAAAAAATCACATTCCCAAAGCTAGACGAGCAAGCTTAGGAATGGGGGGCAACTAATAGGAAAAAATAAACCTGACCTACCTTGACTTAACGACAGAGGCAACTAAGTGTTGACCAGTCGCCAGACCTATTCGACTTTCGAATGATGATATTTCCATTGGATAAGAATGATAATATTTTATTATCAAGGATAATGAAATATGACATGGTTCAACAGGGTAAGGATAACCTTGGCACAATTTGAGAAAGTCAAAGGGGTAAATTATATCCCCGACAAATCTGGAACAAACGGATCTCTTCTGATCTTGCACAAGCGTACCTCCTCTGATCCCGCAAATGAACTGAGGGAGAACAACTATAAGAAGGAGATCCTACCAGTCAATAAAGGTACGACAAAAAATGATTATTAAATCCCTACCTTTCTTTTAGACCTCCGGTGACTGACTTGATCGTCGGAGAGCTCTTGGCAGGCACCACACCGGTGCCGTCAAGATTCATCGATCTTCTACTCTCTTCTTTGCAGGAAAACGGTGTCGTATCGGACTGCGTGGATTTCTCCCCCAACAGTCGTCATTGGAAGAACTACTGTAATTAATTAATATAATGTCTTTAACAATTTGTAAATTGAGCCAAAATCCATGAAATAATTCATGGTGCAGATCAGTAATTATTCTTCCCATAATCACAATTACGGTTTTGATCCCCAAAATCGAAAACCTAGATCGCTAACACGTCGCCAGAGTCGAAGAGGACCAAACCTAAGAAAACATCGGCGGAGGCAAGGGTCATCTCTCAATCACCTTTCTCGTCATTGTCACCGCCGCAACTGAGGCTCTGACTGCAGAATCCACTACTACCCCAGTGGACTCACTAGGGTTTGACGGTGCCCTGCGGGGTACTGTTCACTTGAACAATAATTTTTTATAATTTTTTTTTTTTTTTGCCCTGGGCACTGTTCACTTGAACAATAATAATTTTATTTTTTTTTACCTTTGGCACTGTTCCCTCTGGAATAGTGCTGCGGGTACTGTTCTCTCTGGAATAGTAAATTTTTTTTTTTTTTTTGATACCCTTGGGTAATCTTCCTAATGGTGGAATTACTACAGATACCAAATCAAGGTTCTGTTCCCTTGGGTACTATTCTCAATGGTGTAATTAATACAGATACCAAATCAAGGTTTTATTTTAGAAGGGCATGGATTCAAACCCATGGTCAATGACTCTTACTGATGCAAAGTTGGATTTTTCTTTTGAAAATCTAATATACTAGTTGTAAACTTTGTAGGTTTCAATCAACCCATCCCTTTTGCAAGGGAATAAATTTGACGAGCTTCACTCAGCTCGTTACTCCTTTAATAAGGGAACGAGTTTTACTCAGCTCGTCCTTTTAGTAAGAGAATTAAATTTTACAAGTTTCTCTCAGCTCATCCCTTTAGTAAGGGAATTAGGTTTTACGAACTTCACTCAGCTTGTCCCTTTAGTAAGGGAATTAGATTTTTGTCGAGCTTCGGGAATGCCAAGTCCTACTAAGCTAAGCATGCTTGATGATTACTTTCTTGCCTTTTAATAAGGGAAGTAGATTTGCTCAAGCATTGTGAGCTCACCCTTTAATAAGGGAGTAGTTAACGGAAGAAGATGAAGTTGACCCTTCGTTCCTTTACAGGGGAAAGAGATGTAGTTTGAAGGAGGGTGACCCTTTTAATACGAGAGGTAGTCATTCTGTCTTTCTAGTAAATGAAGGAAGCTTTAATTATCTCACCCTTCTGTGTAGAAGGAGGAGTCGGATTCTTGTCCCTTTAATGAGGGAAGAATGTGTTGTTGGCCCTTGGTCCCTTTAATAAGAAAACCTTTAATAAGGTGTAATCGGCCTCTCGTCTCTTTAATAAGATAAGTATGTTACTATGAGCTTAATATTATCACATAGGTAGGTAACTGAAAACGTAATATTTTATTGCGTAAAAATTAAGGGTCATCCATCTCATTGGTGATGGTAACTTTATTGGAAAATAAAATAACATGTGAGGGAGCTACCCTCCATTTAAAATGATGAACTGAGATGCCCCCAGTCTTTATTTTGAATGACTTGATAAGGCTAATTCCAGCTGTGAGACAATTGATAGTCGGTATGCTTATCTGAGTCCTTCTCACGATATGTCCTATCGCTTTGGCTGAAGAATGATCTCTTATAGTTGGTATCATTTTCATCCCTGGTGAGAGGGGCTGACCTCTTCTTGTCCTTTTCTTCCTTTCCCTTCAGTGCATTCATGACGTTTTTAGCGTTCATGTGTTTCCGCGCTCTAATCAACAACTCTGCCATGCTGGTGGGAGGTTCTTTTAATAAGGAAAACAAGAATCTGGAGGTTTAGAGTCCTCCTATGAAAGCGGTCAAAGCCACCTTGTCGTCCTCTCTTATATCTGCAACATCTCTGTGTTGAATCGGGTGATGTATTCCCAGATCGACTCTCCCTTCTGTTGTTTTACAGTAAGTAGGTAGGTGGCCGGCCTCCTATGCCTCTGACCTGCAATGCAGTG